CCAAAGCCGCGGTCACGCCGATAAAGGAGGAGGCTCAGAATGGGGGGGCTGCTGTTGCAGGACAGACTGATGAGGCGGATGGACAAGAAGCACTTCACAGCAGGTGAGCAGACTCGTCTCTGCGGGGGGGATTTGCCTTTAACACTAGAAAGCCCAAAGATACCCGAATTTTCGTCAGCCTCCCGTCCCCCCAACAAATATACAGTGGGGGAAATAAGTATTTGACCCCTTGCTGATTTTGCAGGTTTGCCAACTTACAATGAATGCAACAATCTATAACTTTAATCATATGTACATTCTAACAGTGAAAGACAGAATCCCAAAGAAAATTCCAGAAAATCACATCATATGATTTTATAAAAATTGAAAACCATCTCATGAGGAAAAACAAGCATTCTTTGTAAGTGGGCAAACCTGCAAAATCAGCAAGGGCTCAAATACTTATTTCCCCCCACTGTATTTCATAACTTTGGTTTTAGCTCAAGCCTCTCTGTTGACCAGTGTCAATATAAATGAGTCTGTTGGTGAATGGACAATAGAATTAGGCTCTGCCTTGCCTTGTTGGTGAAGTATGGTTATGACCTGTTCTCAGGAACAATGACCCCGATGATTATCTGGTTGTTCAATATGTTTGCCTAAATTAAAGATTTAGATATGACTTATCAATATATTCCTGCAAAAAGGTCTGATGTTGCAGGGGCAGGTAATGAAAAGTGCTTGGAACATGTTCTGATGCCAGTTTGTTTCTTGTTTCTTTATCCAGTCTCCTGTAGAAGGGGGGTTGGTGGTAAAGTGGTTAGCATAGCTGCCTTCCAAGCAGCTGACCTGGGTTCGATAAAAGCATCTGCCAAAATGCATAAACATAAACATGGAAGGGCTGGTCATATCACTGGTTTTTTGCATTACAACAGGGACAGTTAGCAAGGCAGAGTGAATACACAAACTTGAAGAGGGGAGGGGGGCTTGCAGGAAAACTGAAATTCTCTGGGACTTCTAGTGTTAAATTGAATTACAGCTTCTTTGACATTGCATTGCAGTGTATAAAGTGATGTGTTATGGTGTTTCGCTACATTCTGAGATTATTTTCTTTTGAACCTGATCCCCAAGTCTAAAGGTCTTATAACTGTTAAAATATCTTTTTAAGAGGTCCAAATATGATTGGACAACACAACACATTTTGACAATCCTTGTGTCAATGCATAACATAAGTCTTTAACCCATTAATATCATCAAATACTGGTTTCCCTCCATTGCAATTCTTTCTCTTGTGTTTTTCAAAGATCATTTGACTGGATATACCATCCATCCATCCATCCATCCATCCATTTTCTATGCATCTTATTCCCAACAGGGTTGCGGGGTGGGGGTGCAGCCTATCCCAGCTGGATATATCTTCCCTCATCTTAAAATCCATCCTCCAATAGTTTAAAAACATCAATCTGAGCTGAATTGGTGATTCTAAATAAACATAGGTGTGTGTGAGAGTCCATGGATACAACAAGTAATGGATCAGTAATTCAATGAGGAATCTATGAAATGGCAACTACTTGATCAATGGACATACATTTTTCTGTAAATGTGTGAGATGTGTTCCACCGACTTTGGGACATAAACAATCACACACATACAAAAAATAACATGCTAAAAAATAAAAGGATACAACCAAAGTAAAGATAGATATTTAACAAAGAAAATCACCTTTTGGTGTGTTGGAACACGCATCAGAAATTTTGAGTGAATATTGATACATTTTCACAGTGAATAGAAAATGAGAAAGCAGTGTATTTTTGCATAATCTATTATTAGTATAATTGTTGCATTGGGCACACTTCAAGAAAGAATTTACTTTGATTTGCACGATGGCCAAGTTGAAGCTTGAAGTAACAAAACAAAAGAATGGAGTCTTTTGGTCCCTATTGCAGCATATTTGATCAGAATTTGTGTTGAAAATCTTCTGGATACACGATTAACAAAATCCAAAAGCTATACTGCTGGGATATTTTGTGATTTATAGAGCCCATTCTCCTTTTTCAATTAAATTTTTTTAATCCAAGTTAATAAATCAGTATCCCTTTTCAAGGACTGGTAATGAATTATGAATCTTGTGGCCTGGCAAGCTAACTTCACTAATTCTCACAAGAACATTCCCAGTCTCGGACCTGTTGTAGTTATTATGCTTCATTATTAATTAAATTACCAAATTTATTATTCACTTTATATAAAATATACATAAAAACTCAATAAATCCAACTTGAATTCAAACCAAAGGCAGCTTGATCACTGCCAACAAATATTTTTGTTCAACAACTAGAAAAGAGAGAGGACACTCCCTCAGCAGCAACCTGACTCATTTTACCCCATGACTGTGAGCTTTACTCTATATTTAGCCCAACTGATACCTATGTAGTTTTTCAACTTACAGTATAGTTCACCTAAAAGTCATCTGTGTTTGCAAATAAACAATATGAGTTATTGGTATCTTTAGATTAAGCTTTAGCAGTCATATTAATCTAAATAAATATGCATGGCATTTCCTTTGGGCAACAAAATTAAAAAAAGCCGAAAACAAGAAAAATAATGGCATTGATAATAGGAATTCTTCCTATATGCTTTGGGGTGAGTGGACCATGTGCTTTTATCATCTTCAGTTTGCTATGACCACTGCTTTCTCTAAGACTGTCAAGAGGAGAAGCATATAGGAGGAAATCCATATCTCACCCCAAGTGGTCAGTTTTCTTTGTCTGTTTTGGTATCTTCCAACTATTAAGATAAATTATTTTATCCTCCCAAAGCTACGTTGAGCAGTGATGAGGGAATTAAACTAGTGCCCAAGAAAGAAAGTTTTATTTCTGTTCTCATTTCATCCTTTTCTCCGCCTTTTGTTTTCATCACAGTAACTAATGACAGAGCTGACAATCTTTCAATGCACAAAGACCAAATAACAAAAGATTGATCTCTTGCGTGATTGTTATAATTTTGTCATGTAAAATTAGTGCCATTTTTTAACCATGGTAATGTGTGACGTGTCGGATCCAATCGCAGGAACATGGGGAAAAGACAGGAGGAACCAAATTCAAAAGAATTATCATGAACCCATTCACACCAACAGACTGATTTGAATTTGTTTTTAAAAAAGTCAGAACCTTTTAAAATAATCTGCTTGTTTTTCTGAGCACCGAAGGATTTAACATACAGGTTCAGATGATCTTTTTTCTGTCTTACTGCTTACACATACTATATTTTTAGATGTGAATGTGTCATCAGAAGCCAGTGTTACTTATTCATGAATAATGTAGGCATCAAACAAATCTGCACTAACAATCCATAAAAGCAGTTCTGTGGGGATTCACGATCCATTAACAGCCCGAGCCAATCCGTACATATTAAAAGGCGCATCTGGGCGAGCAAAATGCGAAAAAAAAAACGTCACGTTATCAATTATTTGGTAATGGTCTGAATTATGCATCGAGATGGCTGCCAGGGGGCCAGGGGCTCCATGGTGACTCAGGTATATGTTTCTGCTAATGCCTGCCTGAATAAAAGCTGCAGACATAGCCGTCGGGGCTGTGCCGTGCAGGATTGTGTTGCTGAGTCTGAGTGAACGCAGGCTGTGATGACTCAGAGGTTTGGTGAGGAGAACTCGGTCTGGTTGATGAGCTGAGAAGCCCTCTGCTGGTACTACGATGCTAATGTAACTCAGGGATGATGAAAAATACAATTGAATAACAATTCTATTAAGATTTTGCTTATTTGAACATGCCAGTGCGTTAAAAACATGTTTTATTGAATAAAAAGTGAAATATTCGTTTATGGAATAAATTAGATTCTTTTTCTTTTTCAAGTTTGATGTCCTGGAATGTTGCAAAAATCAACAGAAAGCATGTGCAATACAGGGGAAATGTATCTGTAGCAACTATGAA